CGCCGAGTATAAGAACCAACTCGATGAGTAGGATGAGTTTTCACTTGGACTTGTCGAGTCCCCCCATGGACTCGGCGAGTTTATTGAACAGTGAGCAAAATTTTGACTTTTTCAAGCTGTTTGCATCAAGTATAATGAAAACAAGTGTAGGCTCTGATACCACTAAAGGGTTTTGAGCATTTTAATACTCCTATGGTGTACAAGCAACCCTATAAACCTTGGATCTATGTTTTCTCTCTTATACATGCAAATTTTATTTATCCAAGGTTCTCATCCTAACTAGTATATCATGGGGTTACTTATAATATAAAAACTAGTAGAATGACTTACCTTTTCTTGTGGTTGATTGGTTGGAGCTTCAAGAACCTAGCACCAATAATGTGAATGCCTCAAGTGGAATCACAAATCACCAAAACAACTTGGAAGACTTTGAGATAATATGAAGCACTTCAAGAAATCAACCCACCCTTTGTTCTCACACACACTAGTGCCATTTCATGTGCCAAAGACCTCTTTATATAGTCTGGTGGATTAGGGTTACATCAATGTAAACCCTAATACCCGTGACCTTTCATTTCCATAGGATCCATGGGTTAAAAACTCCATGGACTATCCATGCAAGCTTAGCCCATCCTAAATGAGCTTTAGCCGATTATATATATATATATATATATATATATATATATATATATATATATATATATATATATATATATAAGAATCTATATTTAATTAGTTTCTTTTGATCACTAAATTAATTCTTGATCAATACCAATTAAATAATATGATTTCATATTAATATATTATAACTTATAATATATTAATAAATAATAAATATACTATTCTTAAAAGATTATACATACAAATTGTTTTGGTGAAATGCAACCCAAATGGACAATATCGGGTCTGGTCAAGTACATACCAAATATAGCTACGGACTTAGACTCCTTATCCAACAGTAAGGTTACGACATGCAAATACGTGTCATCTTCCTTTATAAAAGGGCCTTCCTTGACATGCATTTGTGTGTCATCTATGGCTTTTATGGCATGCAATGTGTGTCATTAAAGGATGTCTTTGTAGTAGTGGGAAGGTCTCCCGAGTTCGTTAGGGATTGTGCTAGTGCAGTTAAAATTCTAATCGAGTCAGATTTCTGTTAGGATGCAAAGTTATCCATGTATGACTTTGTAATGGTTTGACTCATGTAGACCCACTTGCATGTGGTAGAGTAGCCTTGTGACATGAGATAGATAGATAGATAAAGAGAGAGAGAGAGAGAGAGAGAGAGACGTAAACACCTCTATATTTTCGATTCCATACCACTTGTAGAGGTGTGCTTGAGAGATGTAGTTCATATTGACTAGTGAGTGAGATATTTATGAAGTTCTAGATCTAGTACCCTTTGTGTACTCATTTACTATGATAGAATACATATTTTAGCAACCAAATCACCATGTTCTTTGTGTTCATTTAATTTTGCATGCCAAATCTACGCTCATAATTAACATCAATTGGTATCGGAGCGGGTCTTCGAAGATCAAAGAGATTTTTTGAAGAAACGGTTCTCGGTTTGGCTAGATTCAACGCAATTGGTACGTTTATGGTGAGTATCTCAATGATCTCTCTAAATCTCTTTGATTCTTGCTTGTGTTCTTGAATTTTTGATCATTTTGACTCATTGGATCAAAATTTTTTCGAAAACCCATTTGTTATGATCCAATAATTTTTTCATTGATTAACCCCTGATCTAATCGTATTCTTTTATTCAATTTGATTCTCAAATTGCAATTGTTCGTTTGAATCTAGATTTAGCCCAAAATCATATTAGATCCATTATTGTTCATATTTGTTTTTGAGCCCAAATCAGGAAAGGATACTATTCATCATTTTTTAAGCCTAAAATCCGTTTGGTTCAAATCTAATGTCATTAATCCATTACTGTTCATGTAATTTTTTGATTCCAAATGTTTTTTACCCGATAAAATCACTGATTGAGCCCAATGATACATTAGATTTGTTGTGATTCGTGAAGTACCCAATATTCGTCTTAAGCTTTGGATGATGTACGTTACTACTGTTCATAACACTCAACTGGTTCATCTTTTTCTTGAGTTTTGTTTTCATCTAATCATTCGTTATAATCGATTGTTGTTGATTGTTAATCTAAAGTTGTAAATCGATTTCATATGATATGTTCTATGACAAAATCGATTTTTTTCAAGTTGAAGTGTAGAAATCATCAAATTGGTTCTTTAATTTTGATGAACTTGATCAAGAACACTTGAAAGAGATGAAGAACAATTGATTGAACACTTTTTGAACTGAATTTTGGTATTAGAGTCTTCAATTTCATGTTTATTAATCTTTGACTTCAAAAAGCCAAACACAGAAAAAGCCAAACTCGATTTTTATGTGTTGATTCTATGAATTGGAGGCTGAAATTGGTTAAAAGAAGTTGTATTTGGGCGATGGATGTCGAAATCATGCTTGATTTGATGTTCAATTTCAAAAATTGGTAAAGTATTTGTTCTTAACATCGAAGACTAGATATGAATTTTTTTCGACACTTACATGATGTTTTAGATGCCGAATGTTTACTATTCAATGTGTATGGAAGGACTGATAACGAATGTGTAAGTTGTGATTAACAGAAGATTTGAATATCAATAGTTAAAGGGATTGTATGTCTAACACGTCCTGGAATCGACTTAGAACCTAGTTGGAAATGAATGTTACTATTTGCAAGACGAACACACATTGGTTTGAGTTCAATGAGTTTCACTTATGAGAAAGATTTAATTGGGATTGACTCTTGGATGTCGAGTTCGAAAATGATTTCACAGTAAGAAGGATTTAAAGATCGAATGGGAAGTATTGATGTCGATTTTGGAGTCGATGATCGAAGGCTTGGGTATCGATGTTTTGGGTTGACTGAAGAACGAAGGTTTGGAGTCATCGATGTTTAAAATTGAAGGATTGATGTCGATGGTCATAACTTAATGTCGAGGTTGAGTAACTAAAAGCGAAGTCTGTGATTTCGATATCGAATGGGTTTAACTTGGGTATCAACATTGTGGGTTCATCAATAGCATCGATATCGATGGTTGCCTATTGGATTTCGAAGGGTTCGAGTCGAGTACTAGATTCGATGGTCGATACTAGATCCTTATGAGGAATCAACATCGATGGGTTAATTTTAATTTCAAAATGGGAGTCTTGACTTGGATGGTTTGATTTCGAAGGCTAGGTATCGACATGGTCCATGATGGTATCTGATTTTGAAGCGAATTTGGAGAAGATAAACACAATTTTGGAAACAGTCCTTTTTCTTTAAACGAATTGATAGTTTTAGTCCAAATTCGACATGGTGTCAAAATCTTGTGAAGAGTGATGATTCTTCACAATGAGTTCGTGAAGTTTTGAAAACTTGACAGAATTTACCCAACTTCGCGATTGGTCTGAAAATTCTGAGAAATGGGAATATTTACAAAACAAGCCCCTGTAGTTAATGCGAATTTACATTTTATGTCCAGTTTCCCAATTGGTATAAAGTTTCGCATCTTAGGCTGTTTTGGGAGCATCGATTCACTGCAGAATTTCGAAATTGACAGTTTCTACCCAAATTTATGAAATTTTGTCAAAGGCGGTCTGTGAACGAATTCGAAAATTGAGATTTTTTGGATTTATGCAAAATGTTTATGCCATGTGTTAAGGGGGGTTTTGGATAGAAAAATTCCGAATTGAGAACTTTGTCATTCTTTTTGGTTTTATAATCATTTTTCGATTATAAAAAGGGGGAGAGAATTAAATATGGGAATTCGAAAATTGAATTTTTCATATTACGCGTACTTGAAGACCGAAGTGACATTAAGCATTTTGAAGTTTATAAAGTGATTTTGATTGAAGATTTAGAAGTGATTAGTTCATGATGGGTTTGGACTTATTAATGATTTTTTGGGTGTGCTTTTATGCTCAAAATTAGGTAATCTTGTGGAGGTTTGGATACTCCTAATTGCCTTTTGATGCCGAGCTTGTACAGTCTCACACTCTAGAACCTAGATTGGAAGGTCATTGAAGAATTGAAGATTTGAAGTTCATTTTTACGTATGTCACGCTTGAGGTTTGGTTCGTGGAGTTGCTCGATTTTGGAAGATTGAAGCGGGTCATCCATTCCTAACTTTGAAGGGGAGAATGTTGGAATGCATAGTTATCCATGTATGAATTTGTAATGGTTTGACTCATGTAGACCCACTTGCATGTGGTAGAGTAGCCTTGTGACATGAGAGATAGATATATATATATATAGAGAGAGAGATAGAGAGAGAGTGTGTGTGTATGTGTGTGTTAGAGAGAGAGAGATGTAAACACCTCTATATAAGGCGGGTTCCATACCACTTGTAGAGGTGTGCTTGAGAGATCTAGATCTAGTACCCTTTCTGTACTCATTTACTATGATCGAATACATCTTTTAGCACCCAAATCACCATGTTCTTTGTGTTCATTTAATTTTTCATGCCAAATCAATGCTCATAATTCACATCAATTTCGAGTACAGAATCTAAATTAACTGGGGGAGAATTGTAACACATGTTCCCTGAATGGACTAGGTGAGGGATTGGCAGGACCAGAGGTCTGACTTTTTATGGGAAAAACTCGGTGCCACGACATGGTGATTGGAGTACCATGACATGCCATATTATATGCATAATCACGTGTTAAGTTGGTCGCCAGGACGTGGCAAGGAAAGGACAGCATGTGGTATTTGTGGCGGCCCAAGCCCTGGATTTTTAGGATTTTCTTCATATAAAAACAATTAATCTCTAGGATTATAGCATCCTTTTCAGCCTCCAACCCTTTCAAAAGAAACCCTAGCCTTCTTGGAGTGATTCTTGTTGTATTAGTGGTGATTCTTGTAGTTTGAAGCTTTGGCTTGCATTTTTGGAAAATGGAATTGTGTGCTTCCTAGTTAGAAGAGTGATCTACTTCAACTCTTGAACCTAATGCATCTTGTGGAGCTTTCGAAGGTATAAATCTTCCACTTTTTTTGTTCTCTCTTCATAGATCTAAGATTTATTGCATTTCTTGGTTCATATTCAAGTTTGGGTTGATTTGATGAGAGAAAGTTTGCAACTTTATACCTCCTCTTGGTCCCTTGGTCGCTATATCTTTTGGATCGGAAGTTTGATTGTGTTTTGAGGTCTATGTATGAGATTTTTGTATTTTGCCCCATTTTGACCTAGATTGAGATCTAGACTTGCATTAGTCATGCATATCCATAAAGCTATGATTTTTTTGCTGGAATAGAAGTGATAAGTCTTTCAGGAAGTTATGGATTTATGGTTTTGATTATTAAGAGCTTAATGGTAGTGTCCAAGCCTTACGCTGTCATTAAGGATCTAGATTTAGAGATCTAGACTCATCGGGATGTGTTAATGGGTAAATTTGGAAACTTTATCCATCAAGACCTTGGGAAGGACTAGATTTGAGCTTTAGAGCTCTTGAGGTTGAAGGAAAACAGATTAATGCATTAAGCTATTGAGACCCAGTTCCCACGATGTGGATAATGGAGGCCACAACATGGCGACTGGGGGATGCCCAATTATTTTGTCTTTTTTCTCCCACGACATGGAAATGGGTGGCCACGATGTGGCGACCTACTGAAGTGGACTTTCACCATTGATAGTTGACTTTTTGAGCAGTTAGACTTTTAGTCAAACTTGGAGCGGTTTTGAGCTATAGCCTGAGATTTAGCTTGGGATTGGTTTAAGAGGTTTGGGTAGCTGAATTTGCGGGGCTAAGAGTAGTGGGTTCCATCTGTTCATTTACGTGATTCCTCTCATTATACTTACCTGTGTGGTAGAATATACACGTGTTGGCCAGTTGCGTCTTATTTACTGTTACTGTGATATGTGTTACTATGTGTGTTGAGACTTTGGGTAGTCTCCATGGTTGCTGATGACCCACAGGACATGCTGTTTTCCTACTGAGACTTCGGGTAGTCTCCAGATTTGCTGATAACCCACAAGGCGTATTGTTCGCCCACTAAGACTTTGGATAGTCTCCATGGTTACTAATAACCCATAAATGTTTATTTGAGTTGTATTGTATGTAGTATTTTGGCGAACTCACCAATATTTGTGGTTATAGTTTTGGATTAAATATTTTGTAGGTACTTATCGGGTGGCGAAGGCGTGACTATACACACACATCAACGGTTTTATGATTCGAGATTCCGTGTTGTCATCTTATTAACTCTGATTTTGGAATAATGGTTTATGGAAAAATGATTGTAACTTACTAAAAATGGACATTATATTATTTAAATTGTGAAAAAAAAATTATCCTTGATTTTTTGGTGTTACATAAGAGGCTCCCAACAAAGGTTACTAAGACTGGGTATTGGATTGAGATTGCTAATGGATCTTACACAGGAGGAACTGCAAATGAAAGGAAAATCAGAAAGGTCGTAGACTGCTTCATTCATCAGTTGATCAAGTTTTCCATAAACGAAAAGAAGGAAAGGGACAGGATTCCTTTAGTAGATGTGTTTTTTCTATGTATTATTACACCGATTGTATTTTGTCACCTCCCCTACTGTGTAGCAGACTTCTTGGTAGAGCGACTAGGAAAGAGCCGGGATGGGGCTCCCATTTATGGTGGTATGTTAGTTACCAAACTAGCTAGATCTTTTGGAGTTTTTGATGAGCCTAAGGCTGGGTTTCTGACGAGGAAGGAGGGCCGCCCTTTTCAACCAAGATTATTTAAAATCACCCAGATAGTAAAGGATATGGGAAACGACACTTATTCAGTATCGGTAGATGATACAGTAGAGATTCCAAAAGGTCGGAGGAACATGAAGGTGAGAGTAAAGGAGATGAATCCTAGGGATGGACATGTGGACGACAAGCTACCAATGTACCCATATCATATTATGGCTAGACAGTATAACAATGACCTTAGCCGGGTCATGAACTACTTAGGGTTCTCCATAGAGGCGATGATGCACCACCTTTCGATTACACCTCTAGATGGAGCACCTCCCCACTACACATACACCATCTTAGGAGGAGCGTTTGGTCGCAAAGAGGAGGTGCAAGTACCAATGGAGCTGGAGATGGAGATGATGAGGAAGAAAAGTGATTATCCTTGATTTGTGTTTATTTCCGTTTGGTGTGATTTGAACTATTTTTTTTGGAGTGTTAGGAATTTTGTAATGTAATATAATAGTAGCATTTGTTTTACATTTTCCTTTTTATTACGTGTTTTGTTTTTATTTTTCAGAAGTTATGTTGGTGTTAAGTTTAGCAGGTTAATAGGAGTGTGCGATTTTGTTTCCCGAGAAACGTGACGAGATCTTAAGTGAGGGGTACGACATGTGATCGAGAAGAGTTTTTGAGAAACTTTCCGGGTACTATCCACATATTAAACTGAAGAATTTGATTCAACATCATAATAGAAGGATATGTCATCCCGACAATACCTTTCCTCACCTAAAATCGCATTGGACAGAAGCATTGATTTTCTGAGTTTCCAGCAGCCATGGTGTGGCCACGAAGACTTTTTGTGATTCAGTTTTCACATTATTTGAAGCCCACGACGTGGTTACTCTATGCCGCGACACATGGAGTCTCAATGGCACTTATTGATTGTCCGTTTTACCACTATTTGGAGTCACTTTTCACAGTTCATTGAAACGTTACTCCTGTTGAAGTCCAAAACTACCATTTTCCAACCATTACAAGAGATGTCAACCACACAAATTTCAATTTCGACCTCACCATTCCATCCCAGGGGAGCCTCTTCCAATTTCTCTCATTATTTTTATGTTCTTTAATTGTCTAAGCATGCATTGGGGAAAATGCATGAATTAAGTGTTGGGTAAGGGGTCGAATATATGAATGCAAGCATATTATATATATATATATATATATATATATATATGTGTGTGTGTGTGTTTGTGTGTGTGTGTGTGTGAAAAATGACTAATATTAAAAAAAATAGAGAGACTTGAAACAATGGTCTAAAACTGAATCTAGTTATAAAAATTGTCATGTTATTATGTTGGGACGTAGGTTGCTAGTGTTGTGTGGGATGGTCCCGTATGAGCTTTGATGCTTTATTGAGCCTATATATGTTCTGGTGTATTTGAGGTTTCCCTATCTTAATGAAATCATGGGACAAAAATATAACCTTGTTTAGTTTGAGGGAGATAATATTTAGCATCGTGTACTAGAGTCCAAGAAAGATTATGTAGTCATTACACTTTAGACTAATACCTCTAACCAATAAGGTTTGAAGTTAAGTTCCCTTCCTTAAGCATATATTTTTCTTTAGGTTTTTAGTTTTGTGAGAAAAACATGAGTTATGAAAAAAAAAAGAGAGAGAGAAATATGGAGGGAATAAAAGCTTATAAAGTCTAAAGATTAAAGATATTGAAGAATGAAGCAAAAATCACCAAGAAGTCAATTGATTATTTTATTTTATTGTAGTTTATCTTTCCTAGGTATTTTTTTTATATGGATGTTTTGGGGCTTAATCAAAAATTACCTTGAGGTTAAGAAAGATTTATAAGAATATATTCTGAGGGACGCATAAAAATGACTGTTATTCGAAATAACTATGAAGTGTTTATGAGGATTGTGGGTATTTAGGATTGGGGATGTTTTTAGGAATATTACATACAAATATATGCATTGCGGTCTTGATGTAAAGGATGAGTTCAAAATAGATTGCTTGTGAGATGTTGGTGGCTAGGGTTCTGATGTGATGATATGATGATAATAAAATCAGTTTTGCTTGGGGGAAAACAAAAGTTAATTCTAGGGTATTTTGATATGTGCTATTTATTCATACATTTCATGCATTTTCTTAATTTTTAGCTACAATTATGTTCATTATAGGAAAAAAGGTCTTAATATGTTTAAAATATGTTTTGTAGCAACGAAGACATTCTCAGGAAGTAAGGAAGCAAAAGCAGAGATGGGAGCGGGAAAAAGTGAACTAGGTCAACCAAAATCAAAAGAGTCAAGAAATCTGAAGCCTACGGTGTGGAAAACCTTAGCCACACCATAGTGAGAGGAATAATCACGATCTTCTGACTGACTTGGAGAACATGCATGTAAAATGACCACCACGTCGTGGTGACTATTGGCCATGACGTGGGGAGTATAATTTGGAAACTATAAATAGATCGTCTAATCCTTCAAACCAACCTTATGCTTAAAGTTATTTTTGAATTTTGGAGGCCAGAGACTGGAAGACAGAAGGAGATCTTATTTCAATTGAAGTTTAGTTTTGAAGACATTTTAAGGCAATAACACTTCTAAACCTTTGTTTAATTGTTTTACATCATGCTTTCCAAGTTTAACTTCGATTTTGATTGTTTGTTTCCAGAAATCATGGGCTAGAAACCCTAACTTTTGTTTAGATTAGAGGATCATTATGACTATGTGTTGGTTGATTGGATCTTGGATTGTTGCTAGTTGCTTATTTGTTATGATAGTTTGTTAAGGACCCTTTTGTGTTAATGATAACTATTTTTCTATTTATTTTCGAGATTTACTAAATTTAGATGATCATTTTGATTTGATAGACTTGTATCTTATGAATTTTTGATCATCAAAGTCATAAGACTAGTGTTTTGATCATAAACCTAGGGTTAAATAGAATTGTGGGTAGATTAATGTGGAAGCTAATATGTGATGGTTATTCATGTATTGAATTGATGTTATTATTAGTTAATGCCAATTATTAGTACAAGTCTATCATAACTCAAACTTAACACTAGTATTCTTATTTGTTTGTCCACCTGATTAATGAATGAATGAATTAGCTTTACTAAAGGATTATTCTTTTGATCATAAAGTCTAATCACCTTAGCAATTGGTAAGCAACAATTTAATCCACTGCAATTTCCAAGAAATCAACCATAAGAGTAGTGTGAATGGAATCTAAATTGAAGACTCTTTAATATCTTGTTTTAAACCTTAATTTAGATTGCTTTTTATTAGTTAACTCATTTTTGGTAACAATTGTTTCTAAGTAATCTGGACTTGAAAAACCAAAGAAAAACCTCTATTTAATTGCTTTTAAATTAGTTAACTTTTAGTAGACAAATTAGCTTTTAATCATTCTAGTTCCCCTTGTGTTCGACACCTACTTTCTTACTATATTACTATTCGATTAGATACACAACCTATCGCATTTAGCTAGTTTAGATAGTTTGGTGTATGAGTTAAAAACTAGTATACAAATTTCTTATCAACGGTCCTAGTTAATTTTTGGAAATAAGGATTGAATGTGCCTTTTGACACCTGAACAAGGGACGATACATGTAATTTACTCTTAGAATCCTCAGTATGCCACCTATCACACACCGTAATGTTTGATGTGGCACCACAGTGTGCGGTAAACAACACACCGACCCCCCCCCTCCCCCCCCCCCCCCACTATATATATATATATATATGTATATATATATATATATATATATATATATATATATATATATATATATGTATATATATATATAGTATGTGTCCTGCATGTTATGGTTTCACTGCATCTCAATTCGAATTTTTTAACATTTTTTGGTCGTTGGCAAACAGCCAAAATGCTAATATTTTTTTTTTCAATAAACACTATATGTACACAACTATCTATCATATATTTCACTCACAAACCAATTTCAATTCATACCATATTTCAAACCTTTGCATTCCAAAAAGTGAATCCAAACAACCCACAATGTACCGCTTATAGCAAACCGTAGGCAAATGTTTGTCCGTTGGAGCTGTCAGTTTACCGACCACAAATTGATCCATCTATGATTTATCCCCGACCCCAAGCCCAACCTCAAAAACTTACTACCAACAAATACCACAACAATATTACATGATGCAATCTCTTAACCTAACAACGTTTTAAAATCCCCCCCCCCCCCTTTCCCTCCCTTAATATGTTCCCGAACCGGAAGTCAAATTTTTCTGACAAACTCAACCCGATCCCGAACCGGCAGCCGAGCCTGAACCCTAAATTGTAACCATACAACCCTAAAAGACGAGGAAAATGAAAAGCATCGATTCGAAAAGAGAAGATGACGTCTCAACAATGGTAACAGGCGAATATATGGTTTTAGTGCAATCATAGGTCAACATTTCAGAGGATTCAAGAATCAGAAATGCATAAAAAGATGATCATTTTTGGCAACGCATTATGGAGCAATTTCTTAGAGTAATGTGCCGTGGTGATTACTTCACTAAAGAAAAATGTAATAACAAGTTTTGCGAGATGAACAAATATGTTACAGAATTTAACTATATTTACAACAATTTGGAAAGTCAACAGAAAAGCGGGGAAGGCGATGAACAAATTTTAGAAACGACCCTAAAAAATTTCTTATTGATAATAATAAGAAATCATTCAAGTTTCTCGATATTTAGAGAATTTTATCCTAGTCCTCGAAATAGATTGAATAATTTTGTAACGAAGAATGTGGTTTGAAAAGAACCAGAGTTTCTGAGACGATTTATATTACTTCATCGAATATGCATTTTGGGGTTGATTTGAACGAAATGTTCGAGCTTGAAGAGGTAGTTTCAACCGATGGGTCGAGATAAAGCGAAAAAGAGAGGCTATTTGTCAAATATATCAGGAACTAGAAGATGAGATTATATTCATAGAGTTGCTAGTAGTTTCGAAGTTTATAATTTGAATTTTGAAAAGGAAAAATTAGAGGAGAAAAAGAAAGTTAGGAAGGAGAAACAAAGAACTCAAGAGAAGAAGCAAATAAGTCACGATGTGAAATTCGCAAAACCCTTTGACCACCTCACCGAAACGAGCTCGATATGGTTTTGAGGGATAGAACGGACATCATAAACAAATATTACAAGTAGTGTTTTTATTTAATTGCCGTTATTTATTTATTTATTTAATTGTCATTTTTTGCAACGTAATCTTTTTTATGTATTGTTTTTATTTAATTGTTGTTTTTTAGCTATGTAATTGTTTTTCCTTTTATTAATTTTATTCAATTATATTTTATTAAATTAAAAAAATAAAAATATGATAAAATGTGGTATGACACTCATAAGTTATGTAGGATGAGAAAAAAAACAAAAACAATTACATGACATATACAATAGTATGATA